CCGGCCTCCGTGTTTTGGCTCCTCCGGGTTGCTGGTTGGCTGGGAGCGACGTCGGGGGCGGGGCCTGAGGCTCTGATTGGCCTACCGTAGGCCCGTTTGAACTCGACTCGGAGACCCTGAGTGCGCGGCGATTGGTGGAGCTGGCCCTGTGTTTGCTGTAGTCGGCGTGGGGGTGGCGCTGGCCAAGTTCATTCATTACTTCATTGAAACCGAACATGCTCGGCTGGAAAAGCGAGACTGAGTGGCTTTGACTCATTTCCTCTGAAAGATGTGGTCATCTCGAGAAACAGAGTGATCAAAATAGAAAACACACGGAGGACCTTTGCAGCTACTCGGCTCCCGAGAGGATTTAAAATTTAAATAGCTTCTAAGCAGTCTCACTTTTAAAAAAAGAAGAAAAAGATTTTTGAAACACAACGCACATCGCACAGCGTGAGGTCCTGGGTTCAATTCCAAAAAAGGAAAACAAAACAAAAACACTACCAACAGAAGGGCGTAGTAACGCAAGCTTTTAATTTCAGGCAGACATCTCTGTCTTGAGTTGGAGACCAGCCTTGCCTATGTAGTGAGTTCAAGGACAGCCAGGACTACGTAGAGAAAGTCTGTCTCAAAAGTGCGAGCACACACGCAAACACACCACACACACACACACACACACACCAAAGAGAGAAAGGAGCTGGTCAGTGGCAGGTTTTGGCATGAAGACTTTTTCCTCCTTGTCATTCATTATTCCCTGATCAACGGTGTATCAGTACATATATTCATATAGAGTTTGTGTTGTATTGGGTATTAAAGTGGCCTAAAGATGACTTAAGGTACATGGGATAATGAACTTGGCTTATAAGGTAAATATTACACATTGTAAAGTAAAACTCTCACACATCCATGGTTCTGTACTGTGGGGAGGGAGCCTGGAACGGTTCCCTACCTGTTCTGGAGGACTGGATTAGGGACTTACTGTTAGGGCTTTTGGTTCAGGTAGACTTACACTGTTTTTCATCAGAACTAATTACAGAGTATATTTTGACTAGTTAAGGCTGTACAGAACAGAAGGACAACAAGAAGAAAGCCAGCCCTGTTTCTATTTACTTACCAGTGAGAGTCAGCTGTGTAGGAGTCGGGTCTCTCTCTCCATGGTCTGCAAAATCAAAGAGGGGCCAACAGGCCTGACAGCAAGTTCCTCTTCTCACCAGTCAGCGCTATTTTTATTCTATATAAAAGGAGTCAATATCCTGGTGGTGGTGGTGCACGCCTTTAGTTCCCAGCACTCGGGAGGCAGAGGCAGGTGGATCTATGTGAGTTCGAGGCCAGCCTGGTCTATAAGAGCTAGTTCCAGGACGGCTTCCAAAGCCACAGAAAAACCCTGTCTTGAAAAACCAAAAACAACAAGAACAAAAAGGAGTCAATCTTCCATCTAAAGGAACTTGACCATTTTTGAAAAGAATATACACAAGGGTGAGGTGACAAGCCATGCTTACATACTAATGAAAGCACAGTAGGCTGAAGCTGGGTGGCAGAGCTTGCCTGGCGTGCAGGAAGCCCTGGCTATCTCCCTATTACCACACAAGACAACAAAACTGCTTTGGGCAGTAGAATGAGTAGTCTCATTTGTATTTTGTTTGTTTGTGTGTTTGTTTGGAGGGGATAGGAGTACTATAATTATTCTCGGACACCCCAGAATTCCCATGGGCTGAGGCCATGAGTGTAGTTGGGAAGCCAAGTATAGTCCAACCCTACACATCCGCAGATGCTACCAAAATCTGTGGACATTCAACTACTTTTCTACAGCGTACTATAACACAACATAGCGTTTGAACATGACCCTACACAGCCTCCCATATACTTTAAATACTTTCTCTTTTTTTGCTGTTTTTTTGTTTGTTTTTTTAAGACAGGGTTTCTCTGTATTGCTTTGGACGTTGTCCTGGAACTAGCTTTGTAGGACAGGCTGGCCTGGAACTCTCAGAGATCCACCTGCCCTCTGCCTCCTGAGTGCTGGGATTAAAGGCGAGACCACTGCCCGGCTTAAACACTTTCTAAAACACCCTATAGTGGCTAACAGAATATAAACATGACTAAAATAGTTGTACTGTGTTGCTCAAAAAAAAAAAGAAAAAGAAAAGCGTATGCCTGTTTAAAGAGTCTGTACAGTCATGGTTGTCTGTCTGAGTGTTGTTTGGCGCTGTGGGTAGAATGCAGAGATGTGGGTACACAGGCTAGACGGTACCCATAGAGCTCCTAGCTCTGCTCTCCCAGTAATTGCCAGGTGAAAACAAGAGGAAGCAGCCGGCAGCCTGCACTGCCAAGAGCTGCCCCAGAACAAGGAAGCACTGTCATTGTGGGCTCCAGGTTTCCACAAGTACATACAGGTGTCAAACATGCCAGGGTGGTGAGTAGCAATGTCTAGCTTGGGTACAGACATTTAAAAGAACATGCCTGTAGCCTCCAGGTCTTAATTTAAAAGTTCTCACGCCCACCATGGTGGTGTATAAAGGCCTGTAATCCCAGTATTTGGGAGGCTGAGTCAGGAGTCGGAGGCTAGCCTGGGTTATGTAGGGAATTCAAATCCAAGGCTCAAGGAAGACAAAAGCTGGAAGCTGCCAAATCTGTTATTTCCTGGACATCAAGGCAACTTCTCTCTGAGGATTATCTAATGTTTTCCCTGTGCAGGACACAGCTGTGGACA